CTGGATTCTCTTGTAACATGTCCAAAGTGCATGAGACGAAGTCTCACCATTCTTGCTTCCTAGAAGCATTCTGACTGTACTTCTCCTGAGACCAATTTTTTGGGGGCAGTCCATGGTAATTTAAATATTCTTCACCAGCACCATAATTCACATACATTGATTCTTTTTCAGTTTTCCTTATCCATTGTCCAACTTTCAAAAAGCATACCAAATGATAAAAAATACCTATATAAAATACCAAAATATTAAAACTTGAAACCTCACAAAGATTTTAGATTACATATCTATAGATAAGATATTGTCAATTGGATTATTATTTGTAGTAGTTCATCATATAAATATGTATATAATTTAACACTTAACAATAGTTGATATAAAAAATAAGATAATTATTATATTTGTATTTATATACTATCAATGGATGGGAATTGACTATATATACCTAGTGCCAAGTAGTGGGAATTGACTATAGATATATAGCTATAGATATCCATATACACACAGACACACATATATAAACAGTCAGCATATCTATCAATCAATATAGATATACTTATATTTATTACATTATTATAGATTATATATCAGGGTATATTATAATCTGTCAGTATGAAACCACCAACAGTCTGAGAAACCTAGAAGGGCAGTTCTGCACTGGACTACAGAACCACTATGTGTTGTAATCAACTCAATAACGAAGTTTTTTTTTCATATGAGTCAATTTATACATAAAGCTTGTCTCACATACATTGGACCTATTGTTAAGAGAGACTGTAGCAGTTACAAAATCTACTGTCAAATTGAATGAAGGGGTGGAGTCTAGCCTATCAATCAGTTCATAGGCAATGAGGCCTGTCTGGGGGCAAGGCCTTCTCTTGAGGATTCTAGGATTCTTGTCTTCCTCCCTGTAGGTAGGGCACACTTTCTCCCTGTAAGACATTCCTGTTGACAAGCCACATGGAGGCATGCTGATGGAGCCAGAGCCCTGGAGCTGGAGGAGGAGCCTCGTGGAGACCCACACCAGTGCTGAGATGCTTCCATTGCCACTGGATCAACAAGCCTTTCCACTTACTGGCCTGTGACCTTCCTGCAATCGGCATCATTTGAATGTATTGCATGAATCTGAAGAGGAATTTATAGACTGGTATTGGACATATTGGCTCATATTGGACTTACGGACTTGATCTGGACTGGGCTGGAATGTTTTCTCAACATACAATTGATCTTTGATCTAACGTTCTTTCTTACACACATGAGTATCTATAAATTTGTTTCTTTAGTCAGCCCAGACTAACACAGAGACAAACCGAAACTCTGACTGCCATCCAATCTATTCTCATCCATAGGACCTGTATAGGACAGGTTAGAGCTGCCCCTGTGGGTTGCAGAGACTGTGCATCTTTACCGGAGCCGAAATCCTTGTCTTTCTTCCTTAAAGGGGCAAGTGATTTTGAACTGCTGACCTTGAAGCCAGCAGCTCAATGATAATCACTTTGACACCAGGATTCCCTAGAAGAGATCAGTCCCGAGAAAAAGTCATAATGATTTATAAAACAGATGGTCAGTGCAAAATTTTTCTCAATAAGATAGAGTGACATAGTGTCTGCAATAAAGGGCTCCAATATCACAATCGTCCAGACGGTGCAGGACCGGGAAATATTTTATTCCTTTGTACACAGGGCCACCATGAGTGCAGCCAACTTGATGGCCCCTCACAACTCAAGATGCCAAACTCACTGTTTTTGAGTCAATTGTGACCCATAGTGACTCTGCATCGCATCCTAGGACTGCCCTTGTTGGTTGCTGAGACCATAACTCTTTATGGGAATTGAAAGCCTTGTCTTACAGAGAGCAACTGGTAGTTTCAAACTGCTGACCTTAGGTTCACAGCCCGCAGGTCCCACCAGAGCTCCTACAACAATGTGTAACATAGCATGCAATTGAGGTCTGGGACAATCCTTCCTGATCCGGCACACTTATATTTCTGGGGTCAAGTTTATAGATAGGTATAATAATAAATGATATGCAAAAAGAGTACAAGTATTTCATGCCTGTTCATGCCAGGTTTTTAAAACTTTCATCTTTCGAGCTTTTTGGATTATGAAATTACATTTTCAGGACTGTGGCCTCCAGATATTTAGATCTACTCTGAGTTAATTCTTAACAATCAAATGCAACCAAGCAATCGTTAAAAATAATAAAACTTTAAAAATCAGGAAGATATGTAAAAGCACTAAAATATATAATAATCGGTATAAAAGTCATGATATGTGGACACTTGTCTCACAAGATAAACCAAGTTAATTCTCATATTTCCAAGAATTCTGTGTAGACAAAGAACTTAAAATAAAGACATTATGGCTAAACTAATATCTAAGGACTGTTACAGTCTGACTTTGTACGCGGCTGTTTCCCTGTAGAGTGGTATTTTCTTATACCCTATCTCATTAAGCATTTGATTCCTATAAAAAGCGATGCCTTGCAATGTTCCTGTTCATATTTCTATGAGCTCTATGGGAATTGCAATGGAAAGAGACTGCTGAGTGCTCCTGGAAAGATTTGCAGTCTCGGAAGCCCTAAGAAGCAGATGTGCTCTATCCTACTGGGTCATTATGAGTCAGAATCAACTGGATAGTAAAAGGAATGGGGCTTATGAAAATTACCATTTTGCCACTCCAAACTAGAAGACCGAGTAAGGTTTACCACATACGGTCTCCAACACGATGAATCTTCATGGAAGCAGACTACCACACTCTCTCTGAAAGAGCAGGTGGCGGGTAGAAAGTACTATGCGTTCAGTTCGTAGTTCGGCTCTCTAGCCCTGCATCACCAGTTCATCCAGGCAGATTTATTTCAAGCAAAATGTGTTTAAACATATCTCTGTGCTGAGTGGATGGCTGCAGATAAGTTCTATCAGTGATACACGCCTTTCCGACTTGTTGGGTGCTTTGAATTAAAAGGGGGTGGAGTCCAATCAAAACAATGGCACCCGAATAGGGGAAATAAGGGTCAGTTAAATTCATGCCAGAGGTCATTTCAGAAGGTTATGATTGGTTGTTGTTGTCTTCTGAAATCGGTTTTCCTGAAACACACAGGAGGAGAATGAAGATGAAGGCTCATTACAAAGAAGTTTTAAGAAAGCTGAAAACGGCACTGGTGTGAGAAAAAAAAAATCCAGGAAAAGTTGTGCTGGGGACATTTTTCACCCCATCCGGACAATTTGTTTGCTCATTCTTTGAGCAAGGGCTGTCCTGTGAAAAGTGGATGGGAAATCTTATCCCATCCACTTTACAGCCCTGCTATGGACGCTTCAGACCTCTTTATTTTCCAACATCTAAAGAGCATTTAAAAAGAGCAGTGTCACTTGAAGATGCCAAAACTTCTGTTGTGACAAGCAGAGAATAGAAGGGCAAAGAACTATTGGAGGAAAAGTTAGAGGGGTGGACAAATTGCCTTCAGAGATGTTGGAGGGCACGTCCAGAAATAACAGCTTCACATTTTAGTATGTTTAAGAAAGGTTTTTGTCATTTTGAAGCAATGTATTTTTTACTGTACTTCACATATACAATGTAAATCTATATGATCTTCTTTTTTCTATCTGGACCTTGACAATGAACACGAGGTAATTTCCTATTCTTCATTCAGTTATCTTATTGCCTAGAAGTTCTTTTTGGAAATTCTCCACACAGATGAGCTATGATTGTGTATTCAAACAAAACAAAATCTTGACAACTTCAAGCTTTTATCCAATTATTTTGATGTTGCCGATTGGTGCAGTTATAAAGATTTTGTTCTTCTTTATAGTCAATTGTAATCCACAGTGCAGGCTGAACTATTTGATTTTTATCACCAAATACTTCAAGTTCTCCTCACTTTCAGCAAGCAAGGTTGTATCATCTTTATATCGTTGCTTTTAATAAGCCTTCCTCCAGCCCAGATTCCACACTTTTCTTCATATAATCCAGTTCTCTGACAATATGCTCAGCATACAGATGAGTAAGTGGGATGAGAGGACATAACCCTGACTCAAACCTTTCCTGATCTTAAACTACGCAGTACTCTCTTATTCCGTTTGCACAACTGCCTCTTGACTCACAGACAAGTTCTGCATGAACCCCATGAAGTATTCTGGACATTTTCTCAAGGTTTTCTATAGTTTGTTAATATCTACACAAATGCCTTGGAATAGTCAATAACATACTTGTATCATTCTGGTATTCTATGCACTCGGTCAAGATCCATCTCATACTAGCAATAATATCCCTTGTTCCATGCCCTCTCCTGAATCCTGTCTGAATTTCTGGTAGTTCCCTGTAGGATACACCTGTGACTATTGTTGGATATTTTTCCGCAAAATTTTACTTGCATGTGATATTAATGATATTGTTCTAGAATTTGAGTGAGTCAGTTTTCTTTGGAATGGATACAAATGTAGATCTCTTCCAGTCAGTTGAACAAATAGCTGTCTTCCTTATTTCCTGGCATAGATGAGAAAGTACTTCCAATTCTTTATTGGCTTCTCAAAACATTTCAATTGGTGTTCTACCAATTCCTAGAGCCTTGGTTTTGACTAATGCTTTCAGTGCATTTTAATTTCTTCCTTCAGTACTGTTCTTTCTTGCTCATATGCTACCTCCTGTAATGGTGGCCTATCGACTAGTTCAGTGTGGTACAGTGACTGTGTGTACTCTCTCCATCTTCTTTTGATCCTTCTTGCATCATTCAATAACTTATCCATAGATTCTTTCAATATTGCAACTAGAGACTTGAATTGTTCTTCAGTTCTTTCAGTTTAAGATATGCTGAACACATTCTTCTATTTGGGTTTTCTACCTGTAGGTAGGTCTTGTTCATTTCATTATAATATTTGACCTTGTCTTCTGGAGCTGCCCTTTGATATTTTCTGCTCGGTGCTTCTGCTTCATTATTTCTTCTTTTTACATGCTTTACCTACTCTATGATTCCGAGTAAGGTTCAGACTCTTTTTTTTTTTTTTTTGACCCTGTTTGACACTAGTCCGAGCTCCAAGCGCACCGAGGGGCAGCTTCAATGTTTCCTTTCCTCCTTTGACGACCATCCAGACCAGTGTTTTGATAAGATGGGAAAGGGAACTGGAGGGTGGGGTTCAGATTCTTGACATTCACCTGGATATTTTCTTTCTTGTCTTTTTAATTATTTTTGCTTTATTCATGAATGATCTTGATAGACTCCTATAGCTCTTTAGACCTTCTGCTATTAGTGTTGAATGCAGTAAATAGGTTCATGAGATGTGCTCAAACTTCAGGTGGGATACTCAAGGTTGTATTAGAGCACTTGTGATCTTATTTCAACTGGGGAAGTCCATGTATAGTCACCTTTTTGTGTGATAGCAACTAGGTATTGGCTATTAATATATCATTGGTCTTGCAAAATTCTATCATGTGATTTCCAGTTTCATATATATCAGTATGGACATATTTTCCAATTACTGTTTCTTTGTCTTTGTTTTCAAATTTTTTCATTCTAGTCAGCAATAATTATCAATGCATCTTGATTGCATGTTTGATCGATTTCACAATGAAGTCCTTGGTAAAATTCTTCAGTTTCTTCATCACTAGTTTTGGCAGCTGGTGCATACAACCTTGAATAATAGTTTTATTGATTTTCTTGTAATGGATAGATATCATTGTTTCACAGACAGTATCATAATACAAGATTTACCTTGAAATGCTCTTTTTGGCAATGAAAATAAAGTCATTCACCTTCAGACTGTCATTCCCAGTGTAGTAATCCATATGGTTTTCTGATTCAAAATGGCCAATACCAGGTCATTTCAGCTCACTGATGCACTCCATTTGATTTTTAACCACTTCCAATTGTCCTAGGTTAATACTTCTTACATTTAAATTTTGATTAGATTTGATAGCTTTTTCCTCTCATTTTGTGTTGTGCCCCATCAACAAATGAAGGTCCTGACAGCTTATACCCACAGGCTTTACTCCATTCAGGTCCCCATGGTTGACTCTGCTTTCAGAAAGCAGCTCCTTCTCAGTCTTATTTTGAGTGCCTTAGAACCCATCCTCTGCCATCCTCTGGCACTCTCTCTGACAATGTTCTGCTTCCATTCATTAGGCCTTCGGTATCTGTGGTAGTTACATAATCTCATGTCAACTTGAGGGCATTAAGAGTGAAGAGGTAGAGTCTCGGCTGTCAATCAGGTCACAGGCTGATGCTGCCTCCTGGTGAGATGATGCCCTTTTTATGAGGATTCTGGTAACTTCCTCTCTTCCCTGAAGTTGGGCCACATTCTCTCTTTCTGCTTCACCTTCCTGTTGACAAGCCATGTGGAGCCATGCGGAGATCTGAGCCAGCCAAGAGGCAGAGTCCTGTGCCAGCACTGAGATGTTTCTACCGACATTGGATCCACAACACTTTTCATCCACCAGCCTATGATTTTCCTGCATTTGGCATCAGTGCATGTGCTGCATGAGTCCGATGAGGAATTTATGGACTAGTGTTGGACACATGGGCTAATATTGGGTTTATGGACTTGATCTGGACTGGGCTGGGATGTTTTCTCAATATACAATTGATCTTTGATATAAAGTTCTCTCTTACACACATATGAGTGTCTCTGGATTTGTGTCTCTAGTCAACCCAGTCTAACACAGTATCCAAAAATGTTTCAGTGTTATGCATATGGTTTTCATTGGCTACTTCCTGTGAAATGGGAAGCCAACCCCTTCATCATAGTCTGTTCTTAATCCGGATGATGTGCTGATCCTTGTGTACTTTGGGTGACCCTGTGACATACCTTCCAGCATCACAGCAGCTCATCAACAACTACAGTAAGACAGACAAATGGTTATTGTGATTAACCACTTAAACAATAAAAATTGTTTTATTGTTATCTATAAGATTTTAGTTAGATAATTTTTGGAATTAATTAACCAGGATCTTCATCCTAGTCCAGATTACTATAGATGCTCTGCTGAAACTTGTACACAAAGTATTTTCCCAAAAATAATATATAGTTCTGCTTAGAAAAGTGTGATTAATTTTTCATCAAGTCAGCTTCCACTCATGGTGAGCCCATGTACAGCAAAACTAAATCCTTTCTAGACCTGTACTACCTTCATGATCCTTAGTATGCTCCAATCCATTGTTGCAGCCACTGTAACTATTAGACACTTGTTTACCTGCACTATTATTATTATTCACTGCTGTGAGTTATCCCCTATTTTTGGCAAACCAGGTACAATGGAAGGAAAAGTTACCTTGATCTGTACCATTTTCATGTTCTTTGTGGATCAGATCATTGTGATTCATAGGGATTTCAGAGGCTGATTTTTTCAGAATTAGGTTACCACGCTTTACGTCCTAGTCCATCTTAAAAAGAGGACTATGTTGAAACCTATTCAGCACCCTATGAATACAAATCCCACAAATAACCAACAATAAATTCCGACACATGAAGCACATCAGCTGAAAACTGAAACGGGATCTCCTGCATGGAAGTTGGGGATTCTAAAAATGAAGCACTTATGTCCCCTCTCCAATGACAACATTTTTATCTCCTGCATATCGGACACTATGTTATTGTAATCTATAAGATTTTAATTAGATAATTTTTGGAATGAATTAGCCAGGATCTTCGTCCTAGTCCGGATTAGTGTAGATGCTCTGTTGAAACCATGGGTGATTCTGTTGCTATTTCAAATACCAGTGGACTACCTTTCAGCATCAGAGCTACATGCAAATCATCCTAATACGACACATTGGCAGGTAGTAGAGACAATTTGTTTCTGAAAACTTGAAAAAAAGCATTTCTTAAAAGAATTAATATCATTAACTAGCTAAAATTTTGCATTGCAAGTTAATCTGAATTCTATTTATCCCTTAAATAAATGTATTGTATTAGATAAAAGATAAAAGAATAGGTTCCTATTGAAAATGACAATCTATATACAAATATAGATTGTCATTTTACAAGTATAGCTAATACATTTTACAAGTATAGCTAATACTATCTATCCAAAATTGGTTCCATAAGGAAGGGTACTGAATTGAAACTATAGCTGAAAATGACTTGTACATTGTACGGACACATGAAAATAAGTCCCTGAATAGCCTTCTGTTTCATGGACCTGAATCGATTTGCATCTCTCTAGACTTAGTCAAAGGAAGAAAGCAAATATACTCAGGATGAGGGAACCCAATTTAACATGAGTAAAATGAAAAAATATATAAAGCCAACGTTATGGATCAAGTTCTTTTGTTAGCAAGTTGAATGGAAGCCTTTTAGCTCCTTTCAGGAACATGCACACACATTGAAACAGCATCAATTTAACTGACAGCTAATTCACTGATTTCCATTAGATGAATACCCACACTATGATTTGCAATGAGAATTAGATATGTCTCACAGCCAGTAATATCTGATTCTAAAAGCTATAATGGGTAAAGGAAAATCCTTTCCCACAAAATATTGACCTCCACAGTTAAATGAGTTGTCATAATTATTGATTAGTTACACTTCTTCAACCACTGAAGAGTTCACCTCATACCAGTTGAGGATAAAATTTATTTTTATGGATAGAATACTTCAAATGTGCTCTATGGACCTTTTACCACTTGATAATAAATTGTCAATACACAATTATTTATTGAAATAAATATATGACTATTTTCTTTGGTCTAATTTCCAATTCTCTCTCATATATTCACCAATAATATAAACTATACTAAGACACTCAACTTAAATCTGAAATATCAAGAAAAAATAATAGGCCAAATGTAACTTTTGGTCCCAAGGTACATTACAAAAAAAAATCAAGGATTTATACCTAACTCTCTCAAATATAATACCCTATATGCTATTTGGTCTATATTGACAATTTTGATTATAATATACTGGCATATTAGATTCTTTTTATGTTCATATTTCACTATCTTTTACTTAGTACAGCTCTATAAGAGTCTTCAACTTGATTAACTTGAATTCTTCTATTTGTTTTACTCAGATTTAGCTTCAGTATTCATAATAGTTGAGTTTATTGTGTCAACTTGGCCAATAGGAACATGTGGGCAGAAATAAATCAGTCACAGTTTGATTGGAGGGCAAAGAGATAAATGGCTCTGCTACGCCCACCCCTTTCTCTGTTTCTCTCTGGTGATCAGACTAGCTTGTTGCTGCTTAGCTAGTTCTCTACCTCAAACTGTGTGCTATGCTACCTTTGGGTCAAGTCAACCTGTGGATCCTGTCTCTAGATCTTGAAGATCCTTTGTGACATGCTTTGCCACATGGCTGGAGCATACATAGCTTGAATTTGAGGCTGGTAGATCCTGTTACCTTGCTTTTCTGAGTTTGCTATTCCATCCAGGCCTGATTTGCTAAGCTCCAGTGCTACTGACTATTGCTGACCCACCTTGCTGTTTGCTGCCTGCCTGCAGATGCTGTTTTGCTTGAAGGAAGACTCCTCTGTCTGATTCCTTGACCTTGGGCCAAAGTGCCCTCGTGAGTTGAAGGACTTTCAGTATATTGACTGTTCCACAAAAATTTGTTGAACTGAGTCATCTGTACAGCTGTATGAACTAATTAGCTGTTATAATCTTCCTTGCTGTATAAAGCTACCCATATACATATATGTGTCCATATATATAAAGTGTCCTAGTTTTGTTTCTCTAGAGAACCCTCCCTAACACATTATTTTTTTAAATATTTTTGTGACATTTAAAATAAAAGTGAAACTATAATAAAGCAGAGAAAAATTATATCAATGGTTTCTTCCACACTCTTCTCAAACTCAGAGACTCATTCAGGGAAGCGAGAGAGTTTTAGTTCCTTATCTTCCCATTCACTCATCATTGCAATGTGGGTGTTCTGCGATATTTTAGCGGATCCTCTGTATTCCATACAGTTCCTGCATATGCTTTATTAACCGCCTACAAATACCTAAGTTTTTGTAACTTGTTTGAAAGGAATATTTCTTTCAGCTGCATATCACAATTTTTACTTGTTGGTCTTTGGATATTTTATTAATTTATGCATATGCCCCTTTTAAGTATTTATTTCGTTGAAGTCTTTTAGGTATCTGAGTGTAGATGAGAGTATCTTCAGTTTTCTAGATCAATAATTATG